CTGTGCACGCTGAGAACCCACACAAAGGTGCTTAAACCCTCTTCACTTACATTCCTAAAAACTCCCAGCTCCGGGCTTCCCTGGTGGCGCAGTGGTTGAGAGTCCGCCTGCCGATGCAGGGGACGCGGGTTCGTGCCCCGGTCCAGGAGGATCCCACATGCCGCGGAGCGGCTGGGCCCGTGAGCCATGGCCGCTGAGCCTGCGCGTCCGGAGCCTGTGCTCCACAACGGGAGAGGCCGCAACAGTGAGAGAGGCCCGCGCCCCAAAAAAAAAAAAAAAAACAACTCCCAGCTCCCACGGGCTGTTGTCTCTAATCAAGGACGACTTCTTATATACAATTTCATACTTAAGTATGTATGAACATAATAAATGAGTATGATATATGATATCATATGACATAACATCATGCAATACAACACACCTCCAATTCTAGCAAGAGGTAACAAGCTTGCTAGGTAACAGGCTGTTCTGACTAATCTCGAATTCTCCTCTACCGGCAGACCTCACTTTACTGCACTTTGCTTTATTGAACTTCGCAGATACTGTGTTTCTTACAACTTGAAGGTGTGAGGCAACCCAGCCTCGAGCAGGTCTATTGGCGCTGTTTTTGCAACAGCATTTGCTCACTTCATACCTCTGTGTCACATTTTGGTAATTCTTTGCAGTATTTCAAACTTTTTCATTATTATGTGCTATGGTGATCTGTCATCGGTGATCTCTGATGTTATACTATGACTCGCAGAAGGCTCAGACGATGGTTAGCATTTGTTAGCAATGAAGTAATTTTTAATTAAGGGATGTACATTTTTTTAGACATAATGCTACTGCACACTTGATAGACTACAGTATGGCGTGAACAACTTTTACAGGCACTGGGAAACCGAGAAATTCGTGTGACTTGCCTTATTGCCGCGGTCTGGAACTGAACCCGCAGTATCTCTGAGGTCGGCCTGTACATGTAACTGCCGTTCATTTATCCATCCATCCGTTCTATGGGGAGGCAGCACAGAGGATGCAATAAAACCAAGCATAAAGCATCTGACTGGAGTCTTAGCTCCACCACCTACTAGCTATATGGCTTTGGGTAAACCATTTAATATCTCTTGGTTATGGTTTCCTCCTCTGTAAAATAAGGACAATAATAGGGCCTATTATTAGCATAGTCACAGTGATTAAATGACTAAATTAATCTGAGTGTTTGGCAAAAAATAAGCCCTCAAGGGTTAATCATAATTAACATTATGATTATATTATGTAATTATTATGACAATAATTACAATAATTACTAGGACTATAAAAGCATTCACTTATCTATCCCTATGTACCAGAGTGAGCAGCAAATCATTTTAGCCTTCTGATTTTGCAAGTCTTTATCGGGGCATTAGATTTCTCAGGGCAACACCTCCCATATAACCTCCCTCTCCTGCCGGGGGAGATGATGGTAGGCCCAAGCACCAGAGCCATTTACAGCCTGAGGAACCCCTTCCCAAAGCCATGTTTAAACAATTACGAGCATTATGTTGCAGGTACCCATGACCATAGGAGGCCAGCCCAGCACGGTGCTCATCTTGCAGAGACGTCTTTTGTGTGGGTTTTGGGTTTCAGCTGGGCAACTCCAAGCCATAGAGTGAGTCGCAAAACGAGTTTTCATAAGCTCACCCTGTCACAAACCAGGCAGGGGTTCATGCTGACATCCCCACAGTAAGATTAAACAGCATGCTTCGTCAGGCACTAAATACTAACACAGCTCCGACGTCAGGGGGACACTGATTAAAACTGATGTCAATAATTTATGAAACACAATATGGTCTTCAGATGCTCTTTTTTAAAAAAAAAGGAAGAGGGGTAAAAGGGCCTAGCAACCCAGGTGGTTTAAAACTGTTCATGCATTTTCTCTTGAATGTACACCCCCCCACCACCATGCATGGATGCTTCTTTACACAATGAATATAAATGCACATGTGTATAAGAGCATGTGAACGCTGCTGATACACATGGGCGGAAGAAGGTATTTAGTTATTCCACGGAGAGCTGTCGAGGCCGTAACGTTATACATAGTCTTCTCTTTCATACTGTTTTGGGTTTTTTCTTCTCCGGAAGAAGTCCAAAATTGCATTTAAAATAAAATTGGACCTTACAAAACTTCATGTTTATTCCACAGAGAACTTAACCTTGAAACAACCCCAAAAAGAAAGCGGGACCAAAGAAAACCGATAGGATATATGCATTTCTTAGTAAACCGAAAGCACCTCAGCCCTGTGTAGAACCATTTAGTCAAATAATAATATCGATTTTTTTCCAAGTTTTAGGACTGGGGGAGGGAGCGGGGATGAGAGGGTTAACCTAGGGAACGATGCCACTTTATTATGTCATGTCTTTTTATTTTAGAAAGGCAAAGACCGTGATAATGCTTCATTTTTAATCAAAACTCATTTTGAGAATTAAAAATATACTTTGCCTTAGTTGTAAATAATCTGGGTAGCTTGATTTAATATGTCAACAGTGTGAAATTCACAAGATGGGATTATGTTGGGGGAAAAAATCTGAGCCGCTGAGAGTACAAAAGTTAGTGTTTGAAGGATTCATTAATGCTTTTTCCTAGCACAGTGCCCTGTAGTGTCTCAGAACACCTGTCAAATACTAATTCATTCACATATCTCCACTTCAGGGCCTTTTCATAAAAAGCTCGACCTTTAATTGTAAATCACTTCTAAATTGTCTTTGCTGGCTTTCTCTTTTGCGGAATGATGGAAAAATCACTAAGACTTCAATTAAGACTTTATGGGAAGTCAACCTGACATTCCCGAGGCTATATCTACAAGGTATCAGAACATCTATTCAAAAAGGAAACTATAAATAACTTTAACATCGTTGAATTGGCTTGGCTTTTATGAGATGACTGAATAATTGGCAAGATTTAAAGATACTTTAACTACTGAGAATTAAAATAACTTCAGTAAAAACCAGAAAATATTGCTAGCCGATTATTTGTCATGTAGATTATGTACTTATTAGGCCTAATTAAACTTTTTGAACAAAAAGGCTTACTAATTACGTTAGTTAATATGTTGATTGCTCAATTTGGTTTAAAAAAAAAAAAAAACCCGGTCAATCCAATTTGTGCAGAGTTAGTGCTTTGGTCAAAAGACAAAATCCTCGACTATAGAAATTATTTCAAGTACATGGCCATTGTTATAACAATTGCGGGTTACATAAACTGACAGGGAGAGATGGGGGTGGGTGGTATCTGAACAATACCACCCCTGCTAAGAGGAATCTTCAAGCCAGTAAAATGCTACCGTCATAGCCAGTTTATCTGCCTCGATGTATTCACTTGTGTTTTTTCCAATCAGACCCTGCTGGTGACAACGAGAAGTTATCTTTCATATGCACATACATACTAAAACTGATAGCAAAACCCTGGGAGGCCTTTTAAATGTCAATAAAAGGTTTTTACGCACAAAAGGAAGAAAAGAAAAGAGGAAAGGGGAGAAGAAAGAGAAGAAATGGGAAAAACCAACAGTTCTGAAGGAATGGAGCAGATCAAAGGAGTTTTAATTCTCCAAGACGACTAAGCCGGGCTGTAACCACTATCTCGCCACCGAATCCTGAAAAGTCTCTTCCAACAGGCAACCGGTTCCGTCCCTTAAAGGAGGGGGAAGGACAATTACGTCTGCAAAAGTGTACGCTTGGAGTGCGAAGATGGAGGCCCCGCCACGCAACAGGAGAACAGCCCTCTTCAGACCAGGACGCCTGCCTGGGCCTCAGCGCCGACCGGGCTTCTCCAAAACATGTTTTCCATTCCAAAAGTCTACATCCACAGTCATGAGGCACAAACTATTCGACAACAACATGACACAATTAATCAGAACCAGACCTCAAAACGTGTGTTTGTGGGGACCAGCAAACTTTGTAATGTGCCTCAGAGGCCGAAGCAATTGAAGAGACTCACACCGGCTGTGTGGGGCTGGGGGGAGGGGGAGCAAACATCTATATTCCACGAAAGATGAACACCCAAGGGCGTACTGACCAACTATATTGACGATTGACGTTGATGATTTTCATTAAAATAAAACATGAGATTTGGCCGTTTACATCTCATACTGGAAAAGCAGAGTATGTTCTTACTACCTTTCCCCTCCTTTTTTTTTTTTTTTTTTAAAGCCTCATTTCCAACCCAACAGTATCCACCAGTGCCGGTTTTGTCAGATTTCTCTTTCAGGAACTGAAACCCCAAGAAATCGAGAATCTGGGCCCTTAGTTAATTCGGAACTGTTTAATTTCACCGAACCCTGACGCTAACAACAACAAAAAAATCTGGTATACTTCTTTTTTGGAGCGGGATTGAATTAGTTTAAAATAATTAGTGAACTCTCTTTTGTAATCTGTAGATAGTAATTAATTTAAATCACATCATTCTTTTGCTAACACAAACAGGCTGTCCAAAAGAAAAATATATATCTATTTTCAAACCATAAAAGACAAATGGAGGACGCAGGAGTGATAGTCGTCGTGTACCGAATTGGCCCCAAACTGCAAATCCCTTTGCCATCTCCCAAGGGATTTGTGGTCGTGGAGCTGGAACTTCCCGGGAACCGGGCCGGGGTCCCCAACAGCGCGCGCAGCTGCAGACCTAGGGGAGGGGGGGTGGGGCGGAGGTGGACGCCAGGGTCCCGCCAAACTGAGGGGAAGGCACAGAGTGTGTGCCTTTGGATCTGGGGTTAGGGGGACCGGTCGGCAAATGTTCTGCAAAGCCCTCTCCCCGCATCTTGGCTTCGCACAGCGCAGTGAACGCAAACCCGAGCGTCCACGGCCGGCGCCACGAGCGCGAGCGGACCAGCTCTCTGCGCTCCGCGGTGCAGGATTTCCACGTACGCGCCTCCCACCATCCCCACCACATCAACGAAGCGGGCGATCCTCGGGAACCTTCGGTCGCGAGGCCCGGGAGCAGCCGCCCGGGTCCCCGCCCGCCGCCCGCGTCCCCGCGGTGCCCCACTCACCCACGCACTCGTTGGCCTCGCGGGCTGTGGCGCGCTGCCAGGGCCGGTCGTAGTGAAAGGGCTTGCAGCGGTCGCACTCCGGGCCGGCCGTGTTGTGCCTGCAGTCACACACCAAGCTGTCGTCGCGGTCGCGCACGCAGCGGGCCGCGTGGCCATTGCACTTGCAGCGGCCGCCCACCTGCAGGTCGGACACGGCGTAGAAGTACGAGTCGCGCGCCAGCTCTGAGTCGTCCTCGTTCTCGTCGCCGAACGTGTGCAGGCGGCTGAAGGCCACGCGGATGTCGGTGGCCGTGACCCAGTCTTGCAGCACGGGCGAGTTGTCGAAGTCGTGCGCCGAGGGCCGCCCGTCCAGCGTGCTGAAGGCGATGAGGCCGCCCGAGAGCGGGCGCATGTCGGTGTGCGAGTCGGTGCACACGGCCTCCTGCTCGTTCTGCTTGGTGATGGGCGCACGGTGCGGCCGGTTGTACATCTTGCGGCACTGAGTGGAGTAGAACTGGAAGGGCACCCACGTGCGCCCGTAGTCCATGGACTTGTAGATGGCCATGGACTCGGGCCGTGGCGAGCAGAACTGCAGGCTCACATAGGTCACCTCGAACTTCTTGCCGAGCGACAGCGTGAGCGTGACGTTGTGCGGGAACTGCAGGTAGTTCTCGGACTGCCAGCACGTCAGGTTGTGCGGGTTGTTCAGATCCGTGAGGAAGGCGGGCGGGTGCGCCTTCTTGGGGTCCGACGCGTTGCAGAGGTGGCAGGAGCGCAGCCGCTCCTCGCCGCGCTCGCTCACCACGCAGTAGCGCCCGGCGGGCCGGCCGCAGGTGCTGGACACGCGCACGTCCTTGCCGAAGGCCGCGTTGACAAAGTCCGGGATGCAGCGGCGCGGGTGGCCGTTCTCGTCCGAGCAGGGGTCGGGCTGCGCCGCCTGGCCGGCGAACATGCTGAGCCCGGGCCCGCCGCGCACCGCGCCCACCAGGCACGCCACCGCCGCCAGCGCCGCCAGCGCCTCCCACACTGCGCGCATCATGCTGCGTCCAGCCTGCCCCGGCCCCGCCGCGCAGAGGAGTCGGTCCGCCCGCCGCAGAAGGCGCCTGCGGAGAGAGAGGAGCCGCGCTCAGCCAGGCCGCCCCGCGCCCTCCACCCCCCGGCGGGGCGGCGAGCGGGGGCGCGGGCGAGTGCCCGGCTTCCCCCGCACCAAGCCCGCGGCCGAACGAACTCCCGCCTCGCTCCCCCGCGTCCCGGGGGGGCAGGCGAATCCGGGGACCCCAAGCCCGCACCACCCGCGCCTCTCTTTCCCGGCCGGCGGCAAGCCGGGGCCGCGGGCCATCGCTCGGCTTCCCCGCCGCCGCCTCCACGCCGCCCGAGGGTCCGGCCCGCGCCCGTCCGCCCGTCCGCGGCCGGCCTGCCAGCACCCCAAACTCGGACGCAGGACAGCTCGTGGGCCCCCCCGAGCCCGCACGGCCCGCGCCCCCTCCTCCCGCAGCCCGGGGTCCCGCTCAGCTGTCCCATATCGCACCCCCGCCGGCGAGTCCGCGTTCGGGACTTTACCTCAGGAGAGGGCAAAAGAGAAAGAAAAGTTTGCCCGGCCCCGGCCGGGGAGCCCGCGCGCCGGACGGCGGAGAGCCTCTCGCTGGCTGCTAGCAGGAGCGCCCTGCCTCAGCGCGGGCTTGCCAGCTCCATGCCCGGCGCGGCCGCCGCTGCCCCAGCCCCGGCCCGGCCGCCGCCGCCGCCTCTCCCGCCCGAGTGACGACGCGGCCGCCCGGCTCCCGGCGCTCCCGCCGCGGTGCGAGTGCCGCCCAGCCCGCGCCCGGGGCGCACACACACTCCCGCTGGCTGGCGCGCACTCACACACGCACGCACGCCCCCGAAGGCTCCGCCGCCGCCGCCGCCACTCGCGCAAGGAGTGGGGGGCGGAGGGGAGCGCGGGGGCGGGGGGCGGGGCCGCCGGGCGGGGCGCCGGCCAATAACGTCGGCGAGCAGCCGCCCGCTCGCTAGCAAAGTTTTAACCCCGGGAAAGAAGAAAGTTAAAGGGAAGCGGCCGGGGACCCGGAGAGAGCGAGGACACGAGCGGGTGGGAACCGGGGCGCCCGAGAAGGAGAAGCAGAGACAAAGGGAAAGCAAGGAGAGCGCCCGGGGAAACCCCGGAGAGGGGGCTGGGCCCGGCGCGCACCCCGCGGAGGGAGGAGGGGCCGGCCGCGGTCTGTCCGCGTCGCCCCGGCCCCGCGCTGCGCGGAGAGCCCCGCAGGTTTCCGCCGGCCCCACGCCCGGGGGAGCGCGCAGGCCGGGGGGAGGGGGCGATTTACTCCCTCTTGGTCCCAGGCAAACACATCTGTGTTTGTTTTCTTTGCTGCGCCGGGGTCGGGCCTTCCTCTAACCCGGCCTGATGGCCCCGGTAGCACCGCGCACAGGGCCGTGCCCCGTGGGCAGACAGCCCAGGATCGTAAGGAAGAGCCGAGGAAGATGGAGCCTCCGCTGGCTCACCCCTCCCGCCCGAAGCCCCTGGGGTCTGGAGAGAAAGAGCTGCTCCCCCCGCCCCCCTCCCCCCTCCCCCCAGTTGTCACTGTGCGGTGGGCCTATCTGTCGGGAAAGCTGCCCTTTTCCTGCCCGGGGAGCTGTGGTGGGCTGGAGGGTGAAGAGGGAAAAAAGCAGGACGGCACCTGGGCACTGGCCAACGCCCCTCCCAGACGGCTCTGTCAGGCTCAGGCTGGGGGCAGCCTAGCCCTCCCCAGATCCAGAGGCAGCCCTGTAGGTACTTGCTGGCTCAGTGTTGAGGGTGCTGTGGCCCATACTATCTTGTGGGAGCCCACAGCAGCTTTGCAGAGTAGGTATTAAGCTTCATTTTGCAGATGAGGGAACTGAGGTCTCAGGAGGTGAAGAAACTTGCCTAAGATCTGCCAGCTAGTAAACATCAAATCCAGGCATAGAAACTTGGCTTCTTCCTCTCCTCACATTTGTCAAATGGATAATCCCACCCAATTCGAGTCTCATGGGGCATCCTCGGGGCCACCCAGCTTCTCCTTGCCTCCTTCTCTGCCACCTTAACGAAAGGGGGGAGGACAGTAATAGCATCCTTTGACCGTCTTGCAGCAGCAGCCAAAGCACTTTGGGAAAAGAATACACGGGGCTGAGAGTTTGGAACTGAATTGCGGTTGTTACTTTTAGATGAGTGAGCTAGTAATAGACCTGGCTTGAAAGCCCAGGGTCCTGGTTCTGGCCCAACAGCTGACTTGCTGCATTCATTCCATTGAGTGCCTCATTTTGTCTTACTGGTATTCTCATAAACTCTGGGAATCTAAAAAGGGGCCTCAGGGCTAGTCTGGCCCAGCTCAGTCTCTTTGGACCACGGCCTTCCCCAGCCTCCCTGAGAGACAGCCACCCTAGTTCACTGCACCCTTGGGCTGCGGTGAACTTCCAGGGACGGGAGTTCACCGCAGCCCAAAGAAAGAAATCCACTCCATTGCAGGACAGCCTGGACTCATCCCCTCCCCTGGGGCAACATTTTAACTTTGCCTTCTTGTGCCATGTACCACGCTCTGCACTATCTATGCCTTGCCTCGTGGCAGAGGGGGATTTCGGGTGACTTACAAGGTACTTAAAACAAGGCAAAATAACATAAATTAGAAAGTGAGGTGGAAGGAGATAAACGTTTCTCTTTTTTTTAATGTTTAACCCTGTGGACTGTGAAATCCCAATGGCGTACTGAAAGGCAACACAGCAGTCAAGGAGCACAGGCTTTGGAGCCAGAGTGTGACCTTGACAAGTTTTGCATCTTTCTGTGCCTTGGTTTCCTCATTTGTAAAAGGGGGACAACAATCTCTATCTCACAGGGTTGTGAGCATCAAATGAGTTAACACATAAGAGTATTATAGCTTATAATATGTGTACATAAATATTGTACTTAGATCATCTACATGGGTGTACTGTCGTATAAATTTATATGTGAATGCACATAAAACCAGGCACACAGTAAGGAGATGTAGAAATGTTAATTGGTAGTATTAAATTGCTAGCTCTTCATAGAAATTTCAAGTTATTTAGAGAAGAACATTTAATCACATGGAAAGACGTTTGTGACATATTATAAAATGAAAAAAGGAAATTACAAAACACTATGCCCCCCAAAAAACACTAGGCACAGTATACTCTCATTTTTATTTTTTTTAAAATATGCAGAAAAAGACAACATTGCTAATTGTGGGTATCTCTGGATAGTGAGATTACTGGTGATTTTTGTTTATTTTTGCTTGCCTGTTCTTGATTGTGTACAGTAAAATAAGGAGAGCTAAGAGAAGAAAAACCAAGAGGGAAGGCAAAGTAGAGATGGGAATAAAGGTAAAACCCTCCCTGGGATGCCCTATTCATCTTCTGGGAGTGGGCCACAAATGTGTCCCTAAGCTTTCCCACAGCCAAAGTGAAAAGGAGACTATGTCAGTTACACAATTCCAAGGGTCCATGAGTTAAAAACAGACCTATTACTCAAGAGAATTACTACTCTTGGTACTAAAATCAGACAGGAATTTCTCCTGGGGGGCCTCATAAAGAGAACACAGTGTGAGGTAACAAGCACATCCCTAAACCTCTCGGAGGGTTTCTGTGATGGGCCATAATGTAAGCCAATGGCATCACAACAAAACACAAGTCAGGAAGACATCCTGACAAGGATGGGTCTGAAAGAGGTACACTGGGGTACCCCACTCACTGCCCACCCAACTTGGTCTACTTTGGAGTATCTTCAAGACTGGATTGCCCAGCGTTCTGAAGCCTTTTTCTTGCTATGCTGTTTCTGTCCCAGAGCTTTTGATGGACGTTGTATGGCAGCAAGTTCGAAATTATCCTCCCTGGGGTGCACCTCGCCAGCTGAGCTTAGGTCAGTGGTCTTCAGGAAGCATGTGCGTATGGGAGGTGGGGTACTTCCCACTTTTATTGTGATCACTTAGGTCTAAGCTTATCTTCCGCAGTGGATCCTGGTGGGTAGGACTGTCACCTTGCATCGTGGAGGTCCACAACGTTCTGGGAAAACCCTCCTCCCTGCCACTTGTACGGTTGGTTCCATTCCAATTCCACACAGCCGCCTTGACCAAGGCTCTACCTCTTCACCTCTTCAAATGTTGGAAATCAGCCATCTGTCATCCCTCAGTTTTCTTTCTTCTAGGTAAAATGTTCCCAGTTCTTTTTTTTTTTTTTTTGGCCACACCGTGCGACATGTGGGATCTTAGTTCCCCAAACAGGGATCGAACCCGTGCCCGCTACAGTGGAAGCATGGAGTCTTAACCGCTGGACCGCCAGAGAAGTCCCCCAGTTCTTTTTTTTTTTTTCTTTTCTTTTTTGCGGTACGCGGGCCTCTCACTGTTGTGGCCTCTCCCGTTGCGGAGCACAGGCTCCGGACGCGCAGGCCCACCGGCCATGGCTCACGGGCCCAGCCTCTCCACGGCATGCGGGATCCTCCCGGACCGGGGCACGAACCCGTGTCCCCTGAATCGGCAGGCGGACTCTCAACCACTGCGCCACCAGGGAAGCCCCCGCAGTTCTTTTAATGAGTTCTTGCTGGACACTTTGCCAACCGCTCTGCAGCCTCTCTTGATGCCTTCTAATTCGTCAGTGTCCCTATAGCATACTGCCCTTTGAGGGGACAAATGCAAAAAAACAGATGTCCAAGTGTGGTGAGAGCTTCTCAAAGTGGGGGTTATAAATACACACCCAAAAAGGCGTGTCAGGCTCTGAGTGGCAGGATTCACAGTACAAACTGGTGTTTCAAAACACAACAGTGAGGCTCTTGGGTGAGAAAACACATTCCCAGGTGTTTGGGCCAGGAATGCGATCAGGAGGCGGAGCCAGCGTTCTTGGCACCAAGCCTTACGTGGGAAGCCTGAGGATCGCCTGTGCGAGACAAAAATGTGGCCGTTTCATGAAAACTTAGAAGTAGCCAGAGTAGGGGCTTCCCTGGTGGCGCAGTGGTTGGGAGTCCGCCTGCCGATGCAGGGGACACGGGTTCGTGCCCCGGTCCGGGAAGATCCCACATGCCGCGGAGCGGCTGGGCCCGTGAGCCATGGCCGCTGAGCCTGCACGTCCGGAGCCTGTGCTCCGCAACGGGAGAAGCCACAGCAGTGAGGCCCGCGTACCGCAAAAACAAACAAACAAACAAACAAAGAAGTAGCCAGAGTAGGAGGGAGAAAACGGGGAGACTCGGGCGTCCTAGATACCAACGGGGAAGTTTCAAGGGAGGGGGGGGGGGGGGGTGAGCGGTGTCGCATGCCTTCAAGGTCAAGATAAGATCTGAAAGAGTACTTTGGATTGAACTACAAGGAAGTCCTTGGTGACCTTGCCTGGTGGTGGCAGAAGAGTGGTGGGGACAGAAGCCAGACCACCCCAGGTTATAGAGTGAATGGGAGGTGAGAAAGTGGAGATAGCAAGGGTAGACAACTTTCCAGAAGTGTGAAAACAAGTGGCAGGAAAGAGATAGGGTGATTGGAAGGTGACATGGGATTGAGGGAAGGTTGGGATTTTTTTTTATTGTTGTTTATAAGATAAGGCTATTTGAACAGGCCTGAATGTTGATAGGAAGGAGAAGGAGGTTGAAGACGGATAAAAACTAGCCTTGTAAAACAGGTGGTCAGGTGGTCCGAAAGCGTCTCTTGTTACAAAAGAATAGGAAGTAATGCCACCTGCTGAGAGCGAGGGAGCAGATTTGGAAAGGCAGGAAGTCTTGATTGGGTCATTATGGAGAAGGGGATAATGCTTGCTGGGCAGAATTCAAAGACCTATTGCAGTTGGTGACCATCTACAGGAAAGAATGCCACCCAGCAAAGTCATGCCCCAGCAGTGCTCGGCGGCC